TGTGAGAGAGAGAGTGTGTGTGTACCTGTCTGTCACTCAGCAGGTAGATGTACTGATGATCTGGACTGAACACCATGTCTCTGAGGATCGGCTTCCCTTCAACCACCGTCACCGTCTCATACAGCAATGCATTCTGGGCCGGCGGAGGGATCCCATCCACGCGGATCTGAAACACACAAACACAAAAAATACACACACAACCACAAACAGGGAGACAAACACGTTAGCACGTTAGCTAACAGACACCTGAGAACCTGCTTGGTTAGCTGGATGCTAAAAGCTCCATTAAACACAATGAGGAATGCTAACAATGAGGAATGCTAACAGGTTGGAGACATTTTACTTCTTTCTTCCTGTCTGATGAAATAACTTCAGTTTGTGAACCCGCGATCACATTTCACAACAACAACAACAACAACATCCGTAACCATGGTAACACATCAAAGCTTTTCCATCTGAAACCAACAGTAAGAAATAATCCGGGCCACACTGCTGCCTGCAGGTGGCGCTCCACCTGCGACCCCATGCAGTGTGATCAATAAGACAAAGGCCCCGCCCCCCCGCACACATCCCAGATATAAACCGAACAGCTGGAGGGAGGTCTCACTCCGAACCAGAAACACTGGACTGTTTAAAAAACAGACACCATTTTACACAACAGCGAGTAATCGGATCAGATTCTACTGGAGAGGAAGGATGAGGATGAGGATGGTGTGTGTGAGGCTGAATACAGCAGAGGGCTGACGAGGAGACAAGCAGTCTGTTTGAAAATGTGGAGCGACTAAAATAAGATTCCCCAAATCTCCCCAAAACTCCCTCCTACCTCTCTTCTCCCTCTCTTCTCCCGCCTCTCTTGCTCTCCCTCCACTGCATCTGACCCCTGAAAACACCCAGAAGGAATAGGAGAAGAGAGAGGGAAGGTGTAGGAAAGAGAAATTGAGAGAGCAGAGAGAAGAGCACGTGGAGGGCAGGTGGGAGGGATGACAGGAAGGAAAAGAGACAAGCCAGGGTTAGGAAAAGGAAGGGAAAACGAAAAGAAGGGAGGAGATGTTGAGATGGATAAGGAGGAGAGGAAGGTGTCACATGACGAACCAAAAGCAGTTTGAGGTAGGGCAGGAAGAAAGATAGAAAAGAAAGAGGAAGGACGGATAGAAGGAAGGAAGGAAAGTATAAAGGGAGGAAGAAGGAAGGAGACACAAAGAGATTAGGGAAAAAGGGAGAGTATTAAGGAGGTAAGGAGAGTGGATTGACACATATGAAAACAGAAAGAACTAGCAACTAACAGAAGAACATGAATTATGAATTGCAGGACTAGAAACAGAGAATAC